GCACACATAAACTAATTACTAAAATTCTGCAACACACCATAAAAATATAGTATATTTTTTGATGATCTGACAAGAAAAATAGATAATTCTGATTCATTCACATCTAATTTTGATTAATTCACACTGGATGGCTAAATGCCAAACAAACTTAAATTTAGAGACATTCAGCCTGGCTGGTGTGGCTCAGTGGTTGAGCATTGACCCATGCACCAAGGGGTTGCTGGTTGGATTCCTGGTCAGGGCACATGCCCAGGTTGTGGGCCAAATTCCCAGTGGGGGGCATGCAGGAGGCAGCCAGTCGATGTTCTCTCATTGTTGTTTCTATCTCTCTCTCCTCACTTCCTCTCTAAAAAATCAATAAAAACATATTAAAAACAAAACAAAACAAAAACACCAAATTTTGTTAAACATTTACTTTGTGAGAAGAAAGTCTACTAGCAGTTGTCAGTAAGAGGGGAGGAGTGGTGATGGGTAGGGGAAGATTTGCGGAGGGGGAGAAAGAGAGAGAGAGAGAGAGAGAAAAGAAGGAGGAGGAGGAAGAAGGAGAGAAGGGGAGGTGGGGGAGGAGAGGGAGGAAAACAACTACAGACCCCTGCCTATGAGCAGCCACACGTGAGCATGGATTCCAGGTCTCTACCACTTGTTCCCTGGATGACCTTGGCCTAGTTACTTAATCTGGCTGTGACTCCATTTCCCCATTTGCAAAATGGGGGTAGTAATTATGGCCTACTTGTGGGACTGTTCAAGGATTAAGTGAAATAACACAGGTAAGAATTTAGAACAATGCCTAGTATATTAAAAGTGGTAAGGATTAGTTATTAGATGGAACCTTATGAAATTGCCAATATTTGACCATTTTGACGTATAAAAACAACAATCTTAAGCTACCATTATCATCATTATTCTATGACACCAGCCCAGGCTGATGGCCACAGTTGCTGGGGCCTTCTCTGCCATGTCAGGGCATTGGCCCAGTCTGCTGGGAGCTCTCATGTCAAGTAGTCCATGACCCAGAAGACAGGACCGTCCGGCCCTGAGAGCACCTGTGCACAGACGTGCTTCAGGTTCCGGTGCTCAGAGGTGTCAGAAGAAAGCCTGTTACTGTGATCCTCCTGTGTCAGGTTTTGGTATCCTCTCTTAGGAAACTGCTTGGTCAGGGAGAAGCAAGTGCCTGTCCTGGGGGCTCTCACCAAAGCTGGGGCCCTGACCTTTGCCCATGAACCCTCTGGCACCTCCTCTCCAGGCCCATTTGTTCACCCAGGATTAGCAGAGCAAGGATCACTAGGGTAAGTTAAAAAGCACTCAGGCCCTGGCCGGTTTGGCTCAGTGGTTAGAGCATCGGCCTGCGGTCCAGAGAGACCCGGGTTCGGTTCCTGCTAAGGGCATGTACCTCAGTTGCAATTTGTCCCCGGTCCTGGTTGGTTGTGCGGGTGGCAGCTACTCAATGTGTCCCTTTCACATTGATGTTTCTCTCTCTCTGTCTCTTCCTCTCTCTCCCTCCAACTCTCTCTGAACAAAAAATGGAAAAATGTCCTCGGTGAGGATAAAAAACAAACAAAAACAAACAAAAAAAACCACTCAGACTTGGGTTCTGAACTCTGTCTTCACTGCTCCCAGAATCAGGAGTACACTGCAGGGAGCAAAAATAATGACAGTAAGCGCACTGTTTTAAGGGCTACATGCACAGTGCACTGCTCTAATCACGCTGTGTGTTTTAATTTGTATAATCCTCACAACAGCTCTAGGAGGCAGGTACACTTATCTCCATTTTACAGGTAAGAGAACTGAGGCATCGAGTGCTAATTTACTTCTTAAGGTTGCACACCTAGAAAAGCGGAAGAGCTAAAATCTGACCCCATGCAGACTGGCTCCAGAGACTGTGGCTTAGTACTGTTCTATTCCACAGAGTCCGCAACTTAAGGAGGAGGGCCACTGCTTCCTGACACCCTCCACTGGTCCCTTCACAGCTCTCCTCCCTGCTCAAGGATGATGAAGAGCTGGTCTGCTGAAACTGCCACAACTCGAACTTTTTTTTTCTTTATTGATTTTAGAAAGAGAGGAAAGGAGAGGGAGAGAGAAATAGAAACATTGATGAAAGAGAACATCGATTGGCTGCCTCCTGCATGCCCCTCACTGGGGATTGGGCCCACAACCCGGGCATGTGCCCTGACCGGGAACTGAACCGGCGACCTCTTGGTGCATGGGTTAACCACTGAGCCACACCGGCTGGGCCACAACTCGAACTTTTACCTCCACAGCAACTTCATCTGGTTCTCCTTCGAGTCACTGTAGCTTTGAGCCCTCAAACTCTCTCTCCTGGGCTCAGCCTGTCTGGCTCTCTGGGATACCTGTATTCATCGACAGAGCTTCCTTTGCAGTGACTTAATGACAGGTGGCCCTTTCCTCTACAGAGGTCACGGGCAGTGTCACTGCCTGATACAATGCTCTGTATCCTGCGCTGTGCGTGTCTCCTAAAGGACACTTCCTGTCTATCCTAACACAGCCAGACCCATTTTCTTCTTTTATTATTCACAGAATTATAGAACTGTGGGGCTGGGAGGAACTTGGCAGATTATCCAGTTTCATCGCCCGTTCCATTTTGTCTGGAAGAAAGAGGCGAGACTCCTCTCCGAGTAGGCCTGCAGTGCCCTAGCAGCGGACAAAAAGCTCCATTGTTACTCTGAGGGTTGTTGCGGAAAGACCTCAAATCCATGAGATAATCGAATATGCTACCCAGGAAAGAACATCTCTATGTCTAACAGTTTTAAAGTCATAGACTATTATCCTGTGCTGTCGATACTGTGAATCACTAAAAGCCGTTCCAGGAAACCCCTCTACCCCCTGAGCTAATCTGGGAAGCACTTTTATCACATATGACAAGGCCCTCTGAGCCTGGCTCATGATAACTAAATTAGATCCATGCTCCCAATATCCTGCTCCACTTCACCCCAGTATCAAAATGGAGAGCTCGCCCCAGCACTCGGTCACTGCGCCCCTTGTGCTCATTTTCCCTGGGAGTCACATGTGCTGCTTGTTGACAGAAGCCGTGGCTCCACCGCTGCCTGCAGCCTTGACACCACAGCTGGCATCTACTCACAGGAGCCTGCTCTCCCTTCCCTTCCAAAGCCCTTGCGTGGGCAAGTCGGGTCCTGCCTTTCCATCTATCAGCTGAACGGGCGTCTGCTCTTCGGCCACCTAACACCAATCACAGAGTGGGCCTGCTCGAGGAGCACATGGCGATGCCGTGCTCTTGAGAATACAACACCTATGCTATTAGTTAGACCTGAGAAAAACAGTCAGCCTTCTCTGGCTTTCTTCCCCCTGCTTTTGAAAGAAACAGATGTCCATTTGAAAAAAATAACCTTCAGTTCAGAAATGTACAGAGCAGAAAAACAAAAGCCCACTACTGTCCCTAGAGATAACGACCACAAACAACTTCCAGGCCTTTCTGCAGACTACAGAGCTGGCAGTCTCTCTCCTTGGTCCCTGTTTCCCCATTCCCAAGCCTCCCAGAGCAGCCGCCTGGCATTCTCCCCCCTCGCACTTGCCCTTCATTCTCCCCCACGGCTTCCAGGACGCTGCAATCTCACTGGTCACCCCCTGCCCGCGTCGCTCTGTCCACCTCTTCTCCCTGGCCTCTTCATGCGGGAGTGTGCCAGGGCTCAGGCCTGGTCCTTGTCTCTTCTCTGTCCGCACTCACTTCCTTAGGCCTCTCGTCCACTATCCTGGCTTTAAGGACCATCTAGCCAAAGGCTCCTAAACAAACATATTAAGTCCAGACTTCTCTTTTGACTCCAGACTTACGGATTGATCTGTCTGCCCTACGTCTCCATCTGGATGTCTAATGGTAGTTAAAATCCAACATACCCAAAAACTGGACTCCAGATCTCCCTCCATAAACCTGCTCCGTGCAGCCTACTCATCAACTGTGAAGTCATACTGACTCATCCCTTTGTTATACCTTACACCCAATTCATCAGGCATTCCTGCTGGCTCTACTTATGAAATATACTCAAGATCTAGCCACCTGTCACACCTCCCTGCCACCATCCAGGTCCATGCCACTTGGAGAACTACAGTAGCCTCCTGGGTGGTCTCCTGCTTCCACCCTTGCCCACACCCACAGTCACATAGAAGCCAGACTGGTCCTTTGAGTGATTTTGTCCCTCTTCTGCTCAAGACCCTCTGTGGTTTCCCTTCCACTCAGAGAAAAAGCCAAAGTCCTTAAAATGTCTACAAAGTCCTCTGTGACCTAGGTCCCTTGTAAGTTCTCTAGCCTCACCTCTTTCTACTCTTCCCTGGACCACTCTGCTTGAGGCCACACAGGCCCCCATCACCATTCCTTAAACAGCAGGCACGCTGCTGCATTAAGGACTTTGCACTGGCTGTTCCCTCAGCCCGGATACTCTTCCCAGATGACCATATGATTGGCTCTCGCACCTTCCCCAAGGCTTAGCTCAAATGTCACCTTCTCAGTGACCCTATCCTGACAACTTAATGTGAAATTGCAACCTACCTTTTCCCTATCACCTAATAACCTCTTTATCCTGCTCTACATTGGAAAAATTTTTTTCTTTTCACCCTCTAATATTCTTTTAAATGTACTATGCTTTTGTTTATTGTAAGTCTCTCTCCAACTAGTAGGTAAGCTCTGTGAGAACACCGATGTCTGTCTGTTTTACTTTCCAGTATACCCTATGCCTTCAACAGCGCCTAGCATGTGGCAGGCACTGAGCAAATGCAGGCTGATGGATGAGCGAGGTCTCTTAGGCCTGCCCAGCAGGTCTGCAGCAGCTCTTCTGGCACTAAGACCCTTCCATACTGAAGAGCTCGGGGCCCCGGGACTGCCTGCCAACTGGGGGAGGCAACCTCTTCTGAGCTCCCCTTCTCCTTCCCAGCCAGGCACCTGCTGTGGCACCTTCTGTCTGTTCAGCCCCACTGATGGGATAGCTCCATTCTGACGTCCATCCCCACCCCAGGCTGAGCTCCTGTCCACTCACCTGGAAGTCCTCTTCATCCAAGATCTCTTTTCTCCACTTGATCAAGAAAGCTGCGCACACGTAGAGATGGAAGTGGGAGAACCCTTCTGGCTCAGACTGGGAAGGCAAAGAACAGAGTTAGGTCTCTAAGCCCTGACCGGAACTGGCTCTAGTCCTCTCGGGTTCAATACAGCTGCAAAGTGGGAGCACAGCACAGCACCCCTTTCATGGCTGGGCATACAGAGGCCTGAAAAGATTGAGTAGAGGCCCTGCTCGTGAGGCTGAGGCAGACACAGAAGTAGAAAGAAGGTGGGGGAACTTCTGAGCACCTACACTCCACACCAGGGCAGGAGGAGGACGACACAGGGACAGTCTGGCGTGGGGAGGGCAGGGGTCTCGTCATACCTGGTACGTGTCCCACAGGCGGATGGTGCAGCGAAGGGGAAGCTCCCGCATGAGCAGGTTATTCATCCAACGAAAGGCAAACTGTAGGTATTCAACCTCGTACCTCCTGAAGTGATTATGTACCTGCTCTGAAAAGGAAGAGTCATTGGCCCCAGGAGCACAACCTGGGGGGATCAGACCCTGAAAGAGTCCATGAGCCAAAAAGGCAGTTTCCACCCCCCAACACCCACCCCAGGGAGGTCGGACAGAGGGGCCACGCTGACATGTGACTGTTCTTCATGGTTGGTTCCACCACTTCACAGCAACACTGCCCAGGTAACAGCCCGCAGCTGAACTGTTCACACCCCACAGTGATGGTCCATGTGCCCTTCTTCCTTCGCAGGGCTGCTCTAGCCACAGAACAGGACACGTAAGGTTCACTTGGCTGCTTGACCTTATCACTCATTAGAGAAGGAGCCAGAACGGAGAGGAACTGAGGTCACCTTGACCACCCTCCTACCAGCGAGGATTTCCTCCTCAGTCTCCCTGACAGATGGCAGCCAGCAGGCACTTAGACCTGCCAGTGAATGCGGTTCACTGACTCCACTCAAGGGCAGCCCCTCCCACTGACGTGTTAAGTGATCATCAGGAAGTGCTTTGACACACTCAGCAGAAACGAACTCCCCCAACTCCACTCCTAACTCCCACCCCTTGGTGTCTGTCTGTGTGGTGTTCTGGAACAACCTCAAATCAAACCTGATCCCTGTTCTACAAGCCAGCCCTTTGAATAATACTTCATAGGATTTTTACACCACTATCCTCCCCAGTTTCCTAGCCTATAAAATAGGGATAATCGCTCATACCTCGGAAGGTTTGGGAGAAGCTAAAAAGAGAAAATAAAAGTGCTTACAATAGCATCTGGCATGTGGTAAATGCTTAATACAATTTCTGAAAGAATAACCATTAATAATGGTTATTTCTGGTGGGTAGAATTTAAGGAAGGGGAAGATTTTTACTTTTGTGTTTTTCTGAATTGTTTAAATTTTTGTAATATTCTATAATTCTAAAAATAAAAATATATACAGTTAAAAATCCACTACCCCAATGTCCTACGTCTTTACTTATCAGGCATGTGTGAGAACAGGAAAACCAGGCGAGGGCAGACAGCGGCAGAAAGCGCAGCCTCCGCCCTGCCCGCCAACCCGGCGCCCGGCCTGCGGCCCTCAGCCTGCACCAGAACCCAGGTGAGGGGGCCAGGCACCTAGGAGTGGCCCCGCCGGGGGCTAACAGCTGGGTCAGGGTGATAAGAGGAAAAAAATCTCCACATATGACATGGAGGAAACTACTTTAAATAAGCAAATGAGCAGGAAAGATTGAAATCCTGTTATAAAAGGAAGCTGAAGTGAGTGGAATAAGTCAGGAGAGATTTTCATGGAAAGAGAAACTGGGAAGGAGAGAGAAAGACACACCATTTCTGTACGGGCAGAAAGGCAATGCTTAGGTAAAGCAGAAAACCCATGACTGGGGAAACCAGGACATGAGATCTGTTAGTTGGTGTAGTAACTGGTGACACCTAAAGAAGCTTTACAACTGGACTGGCGCAGGCCTTGCTGTTAGGCTCTGCGATCTTCCTGAAACCTAGCTCCGACCTCTCCCGGGCCGCAGTTTCTTCGCCAGTCGTCCCGAGTTGCTTTTTGTTCCTAACATGCCGTGATTCCGAGCCAGAGCCAAGGAAAGACTGTAAGGCTCCTGTTCCTCAAAGACATTCTGCTTCAGGAAGAGCCACCCAACAGGTCACAGGAGCTACAGCAAGTGCTGCTGGGGTAGCAGCCAGACTGGAGAACCCTGGGTCAAGCCCAGGAGTCTCAAGTTCCATCACCACTTGAAGGACAAGGCCAGCCTATAGAGTTGATGCTAAAAGCAATGGAGGAGCCCGGCTGGTGTGGCTCAGTGGATTGAGCATCGTCCCATAGAAAGGTCCTGGTTCGATTCCCGGTCAGGGCACAGGCCTGGGTTGCAAGCTCAATGCCCAGTAGGGGGCGTGCAGTAGGCAGCCAATTGATATTATCTCTCTCACATTGACGTTTCTGTCTCTCTCTCCATTCCTCTACCTCTAAAAAAAGCAATAAAAACCTATTTAAAATAAATACATAAATAAAAGCAATGGAGAGCCCCAGGAGGTTTCAGAGCAGAAAAGGGACGTGACCAGAACACTGCTTAAGAAAGATGCAGTTGCGTGACAGAAGGTTTGGAGGAGGAAAGGTCTGGCGGAGGCATGGCTGGCCCAGGGCAGCAGGTAGGAAAATGGAGAAGAAAGGGTGAGTTGAGGAAAGATGCTGAAGAATCGATAAAACTTGGTGACAGAAAACTAAGCAGAAAAAAAATCGAGATAACAGCAAGAGTTCTCACCTCACCTTCCTGTTGAGATCTGGACGGGTGCTGGTGCCACCAAAGGCACAGGAAGTCGGAAAGGGTCACGGCTAGGAAGGGGCTGAGGGGGGCTCACAGTGCAACCTGCCTGCGTCAGAACCGTACCGTGCTATGGCTAGAGGTCTCCCGGCCCTCTGCACCTACCATCAATCCGGCTGACGAGCTCTTCCAGTGCCTTGACTTTCTTCTGGATCCCTGGCTGTGCAAAGGTGTAGTTATCCTGCCAACGACAGAGAGCCCAGGATAAATGGGGACCCACACAGCCGTGCTACCACCCCTTCAGTCCACAGAATCATGTGTAAAGGCACAAGTGGTTTTTCCAAAGCTGGTGCCAGTGGCTGGGGGAACAAAAGAATCTAGACAGGAGAGTGTGGGAGAGCATACCAGCCCGCTCTGTGGAGGAGACCACATGGCCCGGGTGCACAGAAGGAGGGGTATGCTCTGATGACAAAGCCAGGGCAACATGGAGACTTCCTGAGACTCAGGGATGGTAGAGTCTCAGCTTTTCAAAGCTGTAAAGCCAGTGAAAGAGGCAGAGATGGATGGACCAAAAAGAGGAGGCGTCATGCTGGGTGGAGGGCTATCCGACGCAGAGGGCAGTAAGGAGCCCACAGGCTCACAGGTCCCCATGGAGCCGGGCTCCCACAAGGGCAGAACCAGCTCACCTGGATCCCATCCAGCAACTTGCTCATGCACCAAAAGCTGTCGGCTTCAATGCTTCGCAGCACGTCCTGGGACAAATTGGTCACATCAAAGTTCTCCACATCCTCTTCTGTAAAACAAAAGGTGAAGAGTCCAGAGGTCTTCTCTAAAAAATGGAGAGAGAAAGATAGAGTCTAGTATCTTCAATGGGGCCCTGCGGGCCAGGGGACAGCCAGGCTAACATGACACCAAGGAACAGGGCCCTGTCCTCCTCCCCTTGTCAGGCGGGCCAGTCCCAGGAGGGTTCCTGAGGCTCTTGTCACAACACCGAACAGGCAATTTCTAATGCCAAGACCCCTGCATCCAAAACATCCTTTTCTTCCCCTGCATTTGTTCATTCAGTTTTAGAAAAGATATTTCAGGCCTCATGTTCAATGAGCTATATACCCAGCCAGGCCCCTGGACATGGTCTAGAAAATGTAATTGATTTCAGAATTCAGTGATCTGTCTAGCTCACTCATATGTAGTGACAGCAGCTGGGACCAGATAGACCCCCTAGTTCAGTTTAAAAGATGGAATCCCCAAATTCTGACCAGGCCTCACCAGTCAGAGTGAAGATGGGAATGTGAAGGAAGACAGCTCACACCTGTGGCAGCTGCTAGGGTTTAATTTCACTGAGTTGGTAGTTCCTAGGATGGGCTGTGTACAACATTACTCCCCAAAGCACTTGAGAAGACAAGGATTCCACAGCCAAACATGGTTGAGAATGCTGCATTACACGCCCTCACCCTGTAGATCCACAAAGATCACAGCCAACAGAAAGGTTTGAGAAATTGTAAGAAATTCTCCGCTGAGTGAATCTGCTTAACCTTGTTTACCCAGCATTTCCCAAAACTTCTTTAGCTATGGGACCTTTTTTTTCCATCCTCACCCAAGAATATTTTTTCCACTGATTTTTAAAGAGAGTGGAAAGGAGGGAGTGGGGGGAAAGAGATACACACACACACAGAGACAGAGAAACATGGGCATGAGAGAGAGACATGGATTGGTTGCCTCCCACACACACTCCAACCATGGCCAGGGATCGAACCTGCAACACAGGTACATGCTCTTGACCAGGAACTGAATCCATGACCCTTTGGCCTGCAGGCCGAGCTTTAACCACTGACCCACACCAGCCAGGGCTGCAGTGCATTTTTTTTTTTATCTTCACCCAAGGACTCCCCCCCCCCATTTTTGTTCAGACAGAATGGGGGGGGGGGGAGAGAGGAAGAGAGAGAAACACTGACATGAAAGGGACATATTGAGTGGCTGTCTCCCGCACGACCCCGCCCAGGACTGGGGACAAATCACAACTGAGGTACGTGCCCCTGGCCGGAACTGAACCCGCGACTCACTGGTCCATGGGCCAATGCTCTAACCGCTGAGCCAAACCGGCCAGCGCTGCACTGCATTTTTACATGAACACCAAAGGCTGTAAAAACCCTTTTTGGAAGGGGGAAGTGTTTTATCAGAAAATCTATGACTCTGGAAATAACCTAGTAATCCAACTTGAAGTACAGACACATGTAAATATATGTTAATACATGTAAAATGCTTACAACAGGGCACAGCACACAGGCACAATATAGTTTTAGATGTAGTTTATTAGGAATTTGTAATAACTTGGGAAGTATGTCACTGTGTTAGGGAAAAGCAAGGTACTCAGTTACGGTACACTCTCAACTATTTACTCTACACACATTTATGTGTGCTGACGGAGCACAGTGGTGTACGGGGCTCATTCCTAGGTGGGAGGGATAAAGGATTTTTATCTTCTTTAAGCTTTATTAGACTTTTCAAAATTTCTACAATAAGCTCAATTTATATAGTAGGAAAAAATGTATATAATTTTAGGAAAAAAGAGCTGTTACCCCTGCATTTATCACCAAAAAAAAAAGAATAAAGATTTTCTAAAACAACACAGCGCTTGCAGATTTCAGATGACATGTAAAGGTCCATTTGAGAAATCACATTGCAGAAAAAACCTTTCTAAGAAATAACACTCTTTTTTCCCCCCAACTTAAGCACTTACTACATAGTGTTTTTCGGGGTGGCCATATATATACTACTAATATAGTTAAATGATACTGGGCTCTAAGAACCAGCTCAGAATCTCGCCTTTTCTTTTTGTGTTACATCTCTAAGGTCCTCCAGTTCACTGCCCCCTGTGCCTCCCTTGCTTTACATCTTGGTTCCCCAGGGACAGATATCCAGGTACCTCCAACTCCCCTACCACAAACATGCCTTGGGAAACTGTCCCCTTCCAACAGGAGAGAGCTGCTCTGGACAAGGTGCTGCCAGACCGCCGTCCGGGCCAGGCTCAGAGCAGTGCACGGGAGAGAGCCTCTTCCCTTTCAGCGAGCGCTGCTGCTCGCCCTGACCGCCAGACACTCCCTGTTTATGAGCAGCAGTTGTAAGAAAAAAGTGGAATCCACCAGGAAGGCTCAGGGCAAAACCACCGCCACAACTCATACGCATGCCCAAAGGAAGATCCAGTGCTCCATAATCGTCTTTGCACCGGGGCATTCTACAGTTCCAGACACTGCAGGGAATTGGCACTGGGAAGGGTAACTACACAGAGCAGAGCAACAAGGGAGAGAGGCCTGGGTCTCTGAGAACAATCGGGGCGCACCTGCCATATCAGCCCTGGCAACCTGTGGCTTTTTGTCAGACAGAATACATATGATTAGGAGCCAGACTGCGTAGCTTAAATCCCGACTCCCTCACTCACTAGCTACGTGGCTTTGGGCAAATGACTTTACTTTCTGAGCCTCAGTTCCTCATCTGTTAATGTGGTGATTTCCTGCCAGTGTCATAGGATATTACAAGGATTGAAAGAGTTAATATATAAAAATGCTAACAGTGTCTGGCACAAAATAAGCATTATGCAAATGTTAGCTTGTATTATTGTTATTAAATGAGGAGTAAACTCCTATCTTGCTTAAGCCTCAGTTTTTTTGTGTTTTTTTATCCTCATCTGAGGACATGTTTTGCATTTATCTTCAGACAGAGCAGAAGGGAGAGAGGGAGGAAGAAAGAGAGAGAAACACAGATGTGAGAGAGACACATCGAGTGGCTGCCACCCACACAACTCCAACCGGGGCCAGGGACAAACTGCAACCAAGGTACATGCGCTTGGTGGGAGCTGAACCCGGGACTCTCCGGTCCATGGGCCAATGCTCCAACCGCTGAGCCAAACCAGCCAGGGTTCAGCCTCAGTTTTAAAAATTAAATTTATTGGGGTGACAGTGGTTAATAAAATTATATAGGCTGTAAGTGTACAATTCTATGATACATCGTCTGTATATTGCATTGTGTGCCCAGCACCCAAAGTCAAGTCTTCCGTCACCATATATTTGATCCCCTGTAGCCTGCACTGCCCCCATCCCCCTTCCCTCTGGTAATCACCACATTAACAGATGAGGAACTGAGGCTCAGAAAGTAAAGTCATTTGCCCAAAGCCACGTAGCTAGTGAGTGAGGGAGTCGGGATTTAAGCTACGCAGTCTGGCTCCTAATCATATGTATTCTGTCTGACAAAAAGCCACAGGTTGCCAGGGCTGATATGGCAGGTGCGCCCCGATTGTTCTCAGAGACCCAGGCCTCTCTCCCTTGTTGCTCTGCTCTGTGTAGTTACCCTTCCCAGTGCCAATTCCCTGCAGTGTCTGGAACTGCAGAATGCCCCGGTGCAAAGACGATTATGGAGCACTGGATCTTCCTTTGGGCATGCGTATGAGTAGTGGGGGTGGTTTTGCCCTTCTGTCTGTGTCTGTGAGTTTTTGTTTTTCTTGTTTGTTCATGTGTTGCTATCAGAGCCTCAGTAATGTTGGATCCCTGTCATTCTCAGCCAAACCTAGTCTAATTCCAAAATGTACTTTAAAAATAAGTAAATTTTCTGCCCTGGCCGGTTTGGCTCAGCGGTTAGAGCGTCGGCCTGCAGTCCTGAGAGACCCGGGTTCGGTTCCCGCTAATGGCGCGTACCTCGGTTGCAGTTTGTCCCCGGCCCTGGTCGGTTGTGCGGGTGGCAGCCACTCGATGTGTTCCTTTCACATCGATGTTTCTCTCTCTCTCTCTGTTCCTCTCTCTCCCTCCCACTCTACCTGAAAAAAGAATGAAAAAATGTCCTCGGGTGAGGATAAAAAAAAAAAAAAGTAAATTTCCAAAGTTTCCATTTCTACCATTTCATCAAGAGAAGCTCTAACAACAGGGGTTCTTAACGTTGGTAAGATGCCACCCTCAGTAACTGTGCCAATTCCAAACATTTAGCTGTCTGTCCAGGGAGCAAAAGAACCGACAGACAAGATGCTGAGCCCTCTTAGGGGGCATCGATTTGGGGATGTTGTTTCTCTGTGTTCTGCCCTTAGGCCAGGCCTGCCCTTTAGCCCTTTGCTTTTGCAGACGGTGGGACAGTTCCCTAGCACTTCAGAGAGCGGGAGAGCTTAGTTCTACTGCTCTGCCTGCTGGGAGGGTAAAATTTGCTAGCAGAGTGCACCAGCAAACAGCAGCAGAGGCAGGGAGGCCCAAATACTCTCTGAAGGGCCTCATTCCACATAAATAGTCTGTTCAGAAAGATCACTAAATGTCCCACTTGAGAAAATTCAACAAATAATTGAGCAGAACGGGAAACCATGCCAGCAATGCACTCTCAAATGAGGACAGCGTCTTCGGTTCTCAGAAGACATACAGCAGCCAGGGCTCAGACTGCAGGGAGTGAGGTTTTAAGGGATATTTTATGGCTATTTTAGGAGGTAAAGTATCTAAAAAGAGGAAACCCAAAGCTCCTTATAAAAATCAAATTGCCCACTCTGGGCTTGAGAAGAACATGCCCATTTATTAGCTGATAAAATGTACTTGAGCTCTGGCCAGTTTGGCTCAGTTAGAGTGTCAGCCCGAGAACCAAAGGGTCGCGGGTTTGATTCCTGGTCAAGGGCACGTACCTTCAATCCCGGGCCTTGGTTTGGGTCGCGTGGGAGGCAACCAATCGATGAGTCTCTCTCACATAGATGTTCTCCCCCGTCTTCTCCTCCTCCCTCCCTCCTTTCCACTCTGTCTGAAAAATATCAATGGAAAAATATCCTCGGGTGAGGATTAACACAAAAATAAAATATACTTGAGTCATGGCTCC